TACAAGAACAGTGTTGTCATTTGATATTGATAGGTTTAAGAAAAAGAAGCAGTCGGGAGGTTTAGTGTGATACATTTGACTGGTATCTAATTAGTTATTCTATCTTATCACCTTTTGGTCTGTGGCATAAGCGTCTGTCAACAAGCCTAAAATCATTGAACACAGCTTGGTTGAGATTGTTTGTGATGAACTCCTACAGAGAACAGGGATCCGTCATGATAAAACAGGTTATCACTCAGCAGGAACATTATCCAACCTAATTAAGAGTGCATATATGAATGATAGATGTATGTGACTGATTACATTGACAGCCAATCAGCAATTCATAAATAAATTAAGCTTTTGTGTACTTTTCATTTGAGAAACATGCAAGTAATGAAAAAAAAGGAAATCTATTTAATGAATGGTTGTTTTTTTAGAGGGCACTAGTGTGCTTCTGAAGCCTACGTTATTAAAATGTCTAATTTATGTAATATTATTGCATTTCACATTCTCCCAAAAAAGTGCATAAACAATGATGAGATAATGAAATGGGTCAAGTCTGCAAAAAACACTCAATAACAATCAGAGCCTTTGACTTGACAGATGTGATTCTGGCCTTTTTGTATTACAGAAGACCAACCAACCAACATACAAAATAATCTGCCATCATTTTTCGGATTTTAGTGTATAGAATGGACCATGTTATCTTTAAGAGCTGCACAGTTGTCACTTTAATTCAACCAACTCATTCTGATGACAAAGTAATGATAATGTGTCCAGCACATCAGTGAAAAAAGACAGCAACACATATAAACTATAATCACAATCAGCCCTCGTCAGTACTGTCAATGTCCCTGCTCAACAAGTGCATGGCTTACATGTCTATAAATAATATGAAAGGCAGCTTTTTCTTTCATACTTGAAGTGTAACACAAGTGCACAGAGTGTGGTATAAGATCCCTGGCCATGACATATACCATTTTGAATGTGTCAAATGGTACAGGCAACAACAAAATGGTATTCAACAGTTTTACAGGCATGAAGATTTCAAACACTCTCGCCACAAAGACAACTTCAATTAATGGGCTGTTATGTTTATGTGTCACTTTGTCTACAGTTAATTAATCCATTCACAACAATGAAGGTCCCAGACAAACCAAATTACTTAACAGACTGTACTCATTATTAGAACTTTACAGTATGATTTGATTAGATGTGAACATGTTTTCAGAACATTTGAATCATAACAAAAACTGTGTTTTTTTATGTAATTTTGTAGGTCTCAGTCAATATTTTAAGAAAAGGCTCCTTTGTTTTTCAAACACTCCCTGTTCTTGGATGCTATACTGATCTTTCCAAGTGAAGCAATTGTATGCTTTCCCAGCACAATTACCAGGCATGACAGCCCATTTCAGCTTTGTCTAACTCCTCACTTACCGATCCAAAAATACCATTACCATGCAGATTGGTCCATTATCCTCTGCAATAGGTCACTTATGAGATGTTGTGATTTTCTGTATTAGAGTGGGTGGCCTAAACACTTTTGGTCAATAATGTCCCTTTTGACTCAAATTAACAATCTCTTCCCATTTCTATTAATAAACACATATTTGCCACATTTGCTCTGATTTCAGGGCTAGTAAATTCAGTGACAATCTAACCTTACAAGTCCTTGATACTGTTTTCAAAGTGAACACTGGCTGACCTGGACTTTGGCCTTCAAGCTACCATATCGGACACAAAGCCATTTCAGCAGTCATCGTGTGTTGTCTCTACGCCACAGTGACTAATGTCCTATTTCCACTCAACTAAAAACACCGGTGTCCCCGCTCTAGGCATGGTCCCCCGATCCCAGTCCTGACAAAGACATGCCAAACCATCGCTACTCCTGATACCCCAGGCTGACAAGCTAATCCATCTTCACCTACAGAGCAACTTTACTCCGCTTGTCATCACCACCCGCCCTCTATCAAGGATACCTGAAATCGATATACTCAAACATTCACTGTTTCCTTAATGATCATGACATTAAGGATGGACACTTAATTAATTTACCATTTTAAAATTGCTATAATTGCTTATCCCATGATGCAGATGCACTTAATCAGATCACACAAGTGCAAAACACGTAATTATAAACCTATGTTTTGTTCCTGTTACAGCAAACATGCCATATCAGTGTAATGGCAGTCAAATATAACTGTAATAATTGAATTCTGTACAGTATATTTAGAGGGCAAACAGTTAGGTCCTGAATGTTCACACACTACCACAGAGCCAATAAGCAGTGTCAGGTTTGCAGCACTAACAGGATTAAGCACCAAGACTTTATGTCTTTTACAGCCGCTGCCAGGCACAGGCCTGGAAATAATGGGATCATTTTTGAAGCAGTTCATCATAGACGAAACCATCTCTTCCCACATTAGCTCAGTGTGAAGGGCCCCGCTGCGTATAGGAACGCTGGTACACGCCCATAAATTGTAAAACAAGTAATGACATAATGAGCAAATACACATGGAAACATCCAATGTGGGAAGATGAATATTTAAACTGTGGTAATTTCACTAACAGGACAAATTGGAAAAGGTTTGAGGAAAAGGGTGTCGTTCAATCACCCATGAACTACTTAAGCTTAGCATTCATTATACACTTCATAAAGTCTTTATTAATTGGAACAGTTTACTAATCAGACCCTGCCTTTTTCATTTGTGCTGTAAAAGCCAACTGTAAAAGTAGAACTTTCTATAGTTGTAAGTGATGCATAATGGCAATGGAGGAGTGATTTATTATCACACAGGTACACAGCACATGCACAGAGTGCAATGTATACCATCCATTTAACCCATCCTGGTATTAGGATCATTGGGCAGTTCCAATACAGCATGCAGGAGGCATTGTGGGGGTCCAGTGCCTTGCTCAAGAGCACCAGCACACACTCCAGAGAGACTGAAGACATTGCTGCTTCCATCCAACAAAAAGAGATTTGTTGGACGGAAAATATTTAAAGCCAAACAATTTCAGCTTCACTTCCACATATATGTCATTTCAGCCTGTTGAAAGTTACGCTCAGAGACGGACTTAATATTAAGTTTTATTTGGTGAACATGTTAGCAAACACTTTCTATCAAAGCAGACTCGGAGCAACATTAGGATTAGTTTGGTCATCCATTACAGTTGATGCAAGCCAATTATTCACTTTCCTTTTAGCTGTATTTTGGTCTTAACAAATATCAGATTAATAGCTGATTTATGCTCCAACAGCTAGCTTGCTAATTGTGTCAGTTGCTGCTGGGAAAGCAGTGCTTATATTTATAATATCCGGATAAACACTCTGTAAGATTAAACCAAAACAACTGTAAAACAAGCTAACTAACTTTGTCTATACTGTGTGTCATCACCTTATAATTTGGGTAGTAGGATGAATTCAAATCTTATTAAGGACGAACGAATACATTAATATGACTGTATTGTTTTCCCCTTCTTGGCTGTGGAGTTCTTTCTGGGCTCCCTGCTGCCATCAGCCATTTATTGAGATAGGACCAACTGTCATAACAAATAACTGAAGCGTTGAAGGATTGTCAACGTTGACATGATATATATATTTGCAAAGAAGAAAATACTGCTATGTTGTTTTGCAGGGTAAAAAGCATGTTCTTTCTACAAGTTGTGTACAGACAAATTTTGTTTGTACCATGCAATAGTTTTTCTTCTGATGATGACTCAGATAAGGTAATGACAAGATTTTATTGGCGTTGGCAGGTGGTAATTTTAGACCTGGGCCAAATTGCAGATTTGAGATGGATCATTCCCAGTCGCATGGTTAAATCAATAAAACAGCACCCCTAAGGCCAGTCAGTACAAGTTTGAAGTTCTATAAACATCCCCTGGCAGGTGGCACCAACATCAGCTGGCAGTCTTGTGTAATCACTCTTCAAAAAAAGAAAAACAATAAGCCAGATGACTTTGCCCTGAATTGTCTCATTGATTTTGGCCCAGCAAAAATGTTTCAGTATTTGTAATCAATGCTAGAAAAAAATCATACTATCTAATAAATACCTCCAAATTAGAATACCACTATATTTGAATACCAAGAGAAATAAAATATTACCTTTTTAAAAAGACTTATATATATATAAAAAAAAATATATATACTGTTAAATACCGGAAATGGAAATTAAAAAAAACAATCACATCCCCCTAGATTCTCAGCATTTAAACAGTCTTTATTTCAGTCTGCCAGTATTATTTTGCACACTTTTGGTAAACACTGGATAACCATTCCCTAGGTAATACTGATTAGCCCAGGGGGAAATGGTACTCATATACAGTACCTGCCTGAGAAAGTGTCTGCTTTATTACTCCAATATACATGAAAGGAGCTGAGGTAAATGGTAAATGGACTGTACTTATATAGCGCTTTATCCAGTCTTTAAGACCCCTCAAAGCGCTTTACATACTACATATCATTCACCCATTCACACCCATTCATACAGAGCAGTGTACCTTACTCTAGGACCTAACATTCACACACATTCACACACCGTTGGCCATGCCATCGGGAGCAACTCAGGGTTAAGTATCTTGCCCAAGGATACATCGACATGTTGACTGCATGGGCTGGGATCGAACCCACAACCTTCTGGTTGAAAGACGACCACACAGCCACAGTCGCAAATTGTGTTTAGTTTTTTTATTAGGTTTTAACATTTTTGCCTTTACTATAGACGTGTGGCGCAGTGGATAGAGCCTTGGTGATGGGATCAGGAGGTTGCCGATTCATACCCCACTGCAGTCAGCATGTCATTTTGTCCTTGGGCAAGACACTTCACCCCAAATTGCTCCTGTGGGGATTGCCCACAGTATTGAGTATGTAATTCGCTTTGGATAAAAGTTTGTAACAACATGTAATGTAATAATGTTATCCACATTTTTCTGTGGACGAAGAATTCTTTTAACATAAGAAGACAGTTTATTCACGTGTATTATTTAATAATAAGAAAGAGAAGAGACACCAACACTGAGGGCTCACCAGGTATATGATTTAATACTCAACCATGATTCAGCACATTACACTGAGGAGCAGCTGACGGGTGTAACACCAGGAAACTCTCCACACTGCTCCCTCAGACACACAGTATTTACATTAACCTACAGGATCTGCATGGTAACACATCAATCGTCAGGGAGGAAGGAGGTGTTAGATTAATGTACAGGATTATAACAGCAGACAGGTTGGAGAAACAGCAGCTGCAGGCTACAAGATGCTTCACGACACAATGGTTCACAGTACATCAAAGCACAAATCCTTACACTTATAGCAACAGTATAAAAAGAAGTATCAGGGCCATGTTATCCAGCAGGCGGGGCCCCGTGAAAAAATAGAGCAATGTTGCCATCTTCTGGTTGGATGGCATATCCGCTCGCAGAATAACAGACAACATTTAACTTCGAGGGATCGGCTATCTAATTCAGTTAAGAGAGTACGCAGTAACACAGAATATCTAATCTCAGGAGGAGAGCTATCTAATTATCTATCTATCTAGAACCTTCTGCTGGACTCAAACAAAAAGATATTTAAATACCCGACAGTCGTCTTACAATGGCTTTCAAAGGAGAGAATTTTCCTGTACAGTTTTGAAGGACCACACCGATGTTTTTGCAAGTTTTATCTATAACTAAAAATGACGTACACTTGATATAATTGCTGACAACCATTTGGTAGGCTTTTTTTGAGCTGCCAATGTTTCTATAGTTTTCCCATTGGAATTGAAATCAATTAGCTTGAGTGAGTTGAGTATTCCATCACCATGTCTGCAAGAAGTCTTTTTTTCCCATTACTGTTGCGAGGTAATGCAGTTGAATTGATCTGAGAAGGTAAGCACTGCGGTACCTCTCAGCATTAATGGGGCTCTGATAACAGAAATAATGCAGATTTAACATTTATCGTGATGGATTCAACAGGTTTTCGTTGTGAAATCAATGGAAACCAACAGCTTCCAGGAAAGCAAGGGGAAGGCTTTTGAGAAAATCCTCACATTTATGATGCTTAAGTGCGTGAGGCTCTCTACATCGTCAGCCACTTTATAACAAAACCTCCATTATAAAGGGGTTTTAAACTATGTTGGCTATGCCTTTATCGATGGTTTGTATTGCTTTACCACTCAGGTAGAAAACCTCTTGAATAATCTCTCTTACTCAGTGTCTTTCTTTCTGATATCAAGCCTCCCTTTATACATGCTAAGAAGTCCTTAAAAACAAAGTTGTTAGCCAACAGCAGAAGTTAGATGTTATTATAAACCTGCTCTCTTTAAATGCTGATCTTTTATTTGTTAGTTCTTCATTAATAAACACTTTTAACCTTTTTAAAACAAGTGTTCCTTATTAATAAGCAGCACCCATTACGTAGGTACAGCACAAATGTAATTAACAGTTATAAATAGTCAACAGTAGACACATACATCATTGGAAATGGGGATAAATACACTAAAACATGAAGAATCACTGGTATGGTCCTAAGATAAATAGCTTAGTCGTGGGTCTAAACAGTACTTTCATCAGTTTAGGAAACAGACAACAGCCTGAAGAGACGAGCCCTGCGGGAAAAAAGCCCATATCTGAGTTTCGTCTATAATGTTAGAGAGACAACAATAACACAGTCAGCCTTTATTCTAGATGTTCTGGTGGTTAGTTAGTTGATTTCCGTCACTAAACACACAAAAGACGCACAATAATAGGTGAATTTTTAGCATAGAGTCTCGTGTGACCATCAGAAATATCCCCGGAATCTTTAGAACACTTAAAATACATGCCATGCTGATTTTTTTGATTTTGGGGTATCAGTGAAAGGCCTCGATCAGCATGCCAGGCTCAACCTAAACGTCTTTGTTCGGCCTCTCGTCGGGCTGTAACTCACATGTAAAGCAACTCAAACTCACCCACACACACTCAGCAAGGTCTGCCCACACACACACACACACACACACACACACACACACACACACACACACACACACACACACACACACACACACACACACACACACACACACACACACACACACTAACCGCTTAGTTCAGATCGGACATGTTTGCACTGACCTAAGTTAGAGGTATCTTTCTTTTCTTTAATGTTTACTTCCTGTAACTCTCCTCCTCCTCCTCCTCAGGCGCTCACATGGTCAGATGGTCAGCTTCACTCAGACCAGGATCTGTGCATCTGTGTCATCCCCTCCGTGGTGTGTGTGTGTGTTAACGTGCTGCTTGGTGTGTGTATGATGAGTGTGTTTCTTAGTAATATCAATGATTTCATTTGTTTCCTGTTGATCGTGTGTGTGTTTGTGCACGTGGGAGTGCTCGCTCTTGCCCTCGCTGTGTGTGTGTGTCGGGTCACTGTCAGCGTGTGTGAGATCTTGTTGTGTGTCTGTGTGTGTTCGTGCCTCCTCTGGGTGTGTGTTGGTGACTTCCTCGATCCAGCTCTTGAAGCGGCTGACTCGAGTGTACAGCGACGGAGAGGAGGGGTCGGAGCAGCCGTTACCCCCGGTGACGACCCCGGTGAGGAACCATCGACCGGACTCCCCCTGACACACCAGCCCGCCTCCGGAGTTGCCCTGACAACCGTTGTCGTGGAGGAGGCTGGTGTCTGGAGGGCTGCCGGCGCACAGGGTGCCATGGCTGGAGAAGCTGTCGCCATAGCGCTTCTTACATTGCCATGACGACATCAGAGGGACCCAGGATGCAAGAACTGAGTCTGAGAGAGAGGAGGGAGGAGATTATATAAATGAACAATTAGTTGATTAATTTCTAAGTTAATCAATAACAATGTATTGATTACATGTGACTGTTAATCAATCATTTAAAAAGTGCAAGAAGTGCATTTGTTATATCTAATTAACAAACTTAAATCATTAATAGAATCTGACAGGCTTGTTTTTCTGCTATGTCTTTGTGTCATAGTGAGGATAAAACTGTCATAGTATATCATTTATTTTCTAATCACAGTATTAGCATCGTAACATTTGTTGATTAGCATTAAATACAGCACAGCTGATGAGGAGGTTATCAGGGGATGGATTGGGATTTTGCCATTTCTTTGCAATCTTGCTACAGAAAAGTAACCCCAAAGTGTACCGATCGACCTACTATACTTTGCCGTTTCTTCTGAAATTTTCGACGTACTGCATTGTTGTTTTTTTCCAAAATGTTCAACTTACTATACTTTGTAATTTTTTATTTTCTTTGAATGTTTTTAAACATACCATATACTATAATGTGTTTTTGAATTTCTTCAACATACTATACTAAGTAGATTTTTACTGAAATGTTTGACATACTGTGCTATGTAGTTTTTTGACATACTCTATGTATATTTTAAAATAAATAAATAAAACATTTCATATTTTATACTACACAAAGGCTTTTTTAAAGATATTTTCAACATACTTTACTATAATTTCTTCGACATGGTATACTATGACTTTTTCTCTGTATTTTCAAGAAAGTAGACCATCATTTTTTCACCATGTTCAGATATACTTTTCCATTAGTTTTTTCATATTTTTAACCAAACAATAAAGTATTTTTAACATCCACAGAGCCAACCAACAGAAGCAGGTCATGGCTGATGTCTGACTGTTATTTAATTAATGCTTCATTTGATACACAGCAGCATTTTCTATGAGTGGCATTTGAAACCCTTTTTAAAAAAAATATATACAATTTATTCTTTTATATTAAAAGAGATATGACTGAAGTACACTTGAGAGGAAAAACACATACCTGGTCCTGTCAAACCAGCGGTAACTATGACAACGCAAGAAGAAGGAGGAATCCCTCCTGATGAAGCGTCTGCAGCTGGGAGGCATGCTGCGTTGGTGTTGGGGTCGAACGTCAGGCAGTGGCCCTTGGTGCTGGGAAGCTTCAGCAAAGCCAGATCGTGACCTCCACTCTGACCTTTGAACTTCCTGTGGACCACCACCTGCTGCGGAGTGAGGGTCTGCTCCGACGCCCCGACGCGCACCACGTACCTGGAGGGGTCGCTGCCCAACCTGCAGGGGGGGGAGGAGGGTGGAGACAAGTGTTGGTGCGTTATGACTTCTTCTCACTGATTTTTTGTATAGATTTGTAGTCCGGCGGTGGTCTCACCTGCTGACACAGGAGGCGGAGGTCAGGGCCCAGCAGGGGCTGATCAGGGTGCCACTGCAGAGGGGGCCGCCATCTTCTTGAGAGTGGAGCCACACCGACACCCGCCAGGGCCACGAGGTGCTGACAGCCAATGGGACGAGATTTGAATCAAAACGTTATCTAACCAAAGACCAGGCCAAAAATGTAATTACATTGTGGCATTTTTTTTTTTGTCTTAAGATATGATAAGATAAGAAATACTTTATTGATCCCAATTTGGGAAATGTTTATGTTGCAGCAGCATAAAAAGATATGGCATTGTACAATACAAATTAAAAGACTAGAAATAAACATTCCAAAATGTAAACATCTCAATAGAAATAAATTAGCATTAGAAAAAAAAGTTGAACATTTACATGTTGAATTACAAATGTACAGTAATAAAAAATAAAAAGCAGGATATACATAAGTATGTGAGAAATGGAATATTAAATATTAGATTGAATATACATTTTCCCATCCTTTATAGGAGTAACTATAACATAAAGCAATTTATATTTCTTATTCTGAAAGTTGAATTCAATTAAAATATAATATACTATTTTACTGTGGAAATGTTGTACTGTGTGTTCTGTATGCCACTACAAATCCTGAGTGTCTTATGTCACCAGGACAGAGTTTCAGATTTGGATGTTTTGTACCTCCACACTTTGTCCTATATCCTACCTGAGCATGTTTCCCTCCCCCTGGCTCTCCCTCTTGCCCTCCTCCTCCCCTAGCTTCCTCAGCCCACAGCTCAGCTCCCGAGGCTTGGCCCCCGCCGCTGACTCCCGAGGGGGGGCGTCACACTTCACCCCCGCATCCACCCTCCGCCTGCAGCTCTGGGTGCTCTGGCCCAGAGAGGGACACTCCCCGAGGAACTCCTCCTTCCCCGTGCACCTCACCTGGTCCAGGTGGATCGGCCCTTTGCCCTGACCGAACCCCCCCGCTGCTACTGCTCCTAGACTGAGGGGGAGAAAGAATGTTGGTGAGATTAGCTAAATAAGAATGAATAAAATGCATAGTAATGTACAGTCAATTCTGCAAGTCATTTTCATACGATGTGGAAGTTACTACAGTCGTAATATTTTGATCAGGTATTACCCAATTAATGTCAACATATTAGCATTTTTTCATTCAAATATTGCACTGATAATCTATTGATCTATAAGGACCTGGCTAAAGGAAAAAAAGTCATTATTTATAAATCTGCAATTCAATTCATTAAGTCTAAGTGTTGAGAATAAACTTTCAGTATGAGGTCCAGGCATAAGAAAAACGAAATATCAAAGAAAGATGTTTGTGTTTTTGCATTTTGAGCATAAACTAGAAATGATGAGTACAAATCAAACTACTAGCATTAGCGCATATACCACAGGTTTAGCTTTATTCTCAACATTTATGCTATATTGTTGAAATGCCAGAAAAAACAACCCTATTATGCTGTAACCATATTGTTACCAAAAATATTAAATTACTATTACTACTTTTAATTTGACTATTGGCTTTAATATGCTTTTTTTTCTTTGATTTAGCCGTTTATGACTGATTTCAGTCTAATATTACCCACTTATACAGACATTATAAAAACTAAGCTTCCCAGTTATTCCTTCAGTCATTTGGAAGGTATTACTTCATTATTACCTATAATTATCAAACAAATACTCCACTATAACCCACTGTACCGGTAATTATAAAACTATTCATGTCTGTTATGTGTGCATAAATATGTCCTTTCTATAGGTGTCAAAACTAATCCTAAAGTAACAGATGGGCAAGTACTTATAATTGTATTCTATTGTTCTACGTATGTACTTAGTAGATTGGATTTTTCCTGCGATTTATGATATAGATTTGACTACATTTGTTGATGTTTTGCGTTCAATGTAGGCCTGTTTAATACTGATCTTGATATTTGGTGTTCATTTTCCTAGATGCTTTGTCCTGTTGCACAGATACGTAGATAGCTGTGTGAGGATCTTTTGTCTGTTGAATCATGCATTTAAATACTAACCTGTGTCCGAGCTGTCTGCACACCACGGCTGCATTCAGGTCGTTCCAGCCTGAGTCACAAATACTTCCCCAGTCACCATGGAGATACACCTCGACTCGACCCTCCTTTCTGTTGCTGCCCCCCACCAGACGGACCAGGGGACCTGACGGGAGAAAAAAACACACATCCCTGATTAATATTCATGTGGGTGCACCTACATACTCCAGTCAACAGTCTGCTGAGAGTTATGTCCGCTGGCAGAGGTAAATGTCATCTGGTGCCTGGTGCCTCTTTATTCTGCTGCTATTCTCATTCTAATGGAGTGTGTGTCTACAGGAGGCGCAGTAAACACCTCTTTATTCTCTCTGCTGTCAACATGTGGCATTTCAACTCTCTGGACACAGGAAAACACTGGAGTTTTCACACTGATAATCATACAGTGGCACTAAAGGAGACTTCAATCTCTCAGAGGCCAGACAGAAACATCTTTGTTGATTAGCAATTTAAAGCAAATGTGTATTAGGTAGAGTCTACTGCTGAAAGAGTTGTATTAAGTAAACAGTTCACAGCTGGCCTGACATCAGCACTCTGCAGGGACAGCTTACCCTTTTGGAACAAAATTAATAGCAGGCTCCAAACTTCTGCAGTGCAGCGGTCCTTTTGTCCTCCTACTCTTTCCAAATGAACATCAAATGTGACATAGTAGTCTGGTGTACTCTCACACAACATTGAAGTCAAATGTTTCTTTTTAATGATCTCTTTGGTACATAATAATAATACATCTTTTTTTGACAGACTTACTATACTACGACTTTTGTGATATTGATTACGGCACCCTATACAATGATTTTTTTAAACCTTTTTTATGACATACTTAAATACTATGATGATTTTTTAAAGTTTTACATGCTTAACAATGACTTTTTCATAACACACTATACTATGTATTTTTGTATTGTACTATATTTTAATCATTTAATCATTGTTTTATATGATATACTTTACCTCTTCTTTGTTTGACCTTTGTTTAGATACATTTAGATCAGGGCTGTCCCGGGGGCCGAATGCACATTTTGAATCGGCCCTCAGCAAATTCAAAAAGTATAATGGAGTCTGGCCCACAAATGAAATTGGTGTTTGTCTTGTACTTCTTAAATATAGATGAAAATATATATTACACAGTAGTATTAATGTGTCAAGAAGCCCACTCAAATAAATTCAGTCAATTAAAACTGAAATCAAAAAGCCAAATAACTTATTTACATAACAAGCTTGAAATAAACCCTTCCTATTTCCTCTTATTATAAGCAATCTGAGGCTCCGGTTTTAAGGAATGAGCTGAAAACAAAATAAATTAAACTCTATGGAGAGCTGTGATGTCGGCTGTTGTTTTTCTTAAAGCATATTCAAGTATCAAGCTTAATTTACCTACTTTTGATTGATTTAGCTGACTTATGACTTTCCTTATGAGGTCATATACCTGACCTCTAGTGAGGGGCCCAGACCTTTGTATATCTTTCTGTAAGTGGCCCTCGGTGAAAAAAGTTTGGACACCCCTGATTTAGATGAAAATCTATCCCTTTTTTTGTCATTTCCCAGGGCATACAATACTATGACTTTTCAACAAGTTTTTGTGTAGTGATGGCGCTGAGACCATGAATAACGTTCAATAATCTAAGAGGCAGATTTCAGGACCACAGAAGATGAAGAGGTGAATTTTTCTAATCAGCGCCCCATATATATAAAACAATATGCAGCCAGGCGTTGTTCACCCTCGTTTCGTACCTGTGGAAGGTGCGATGACCGGCACCTGGTTGGTTTCTTGGCTGGGTCGTTTTCTGCAGCGGACCCCGACGTCCTCGCTGTGGGAGCAGTCGGTCCGGCCCCAGATCCCGTGAGGACAGTCCAGCAGGGACGTCTCGGACCCCTCACAGTGGACGTCGTCCAGGAGGATCAGACCCACGCCCTCGCCAAACATCCCGTCAGATACGACCTCCGCGTGACCCCTGAAGGAGGAGGAGAAGTCATACAGATACTCAACACAACACATGCAAAGTTACATCTCATCAGGTAAAAATTATCACATCATTTACCTGAATTCTGGTTTGATTTAGTCAAAAAATACATTAGAATAATATAATGATGACATTATTAATACTAGTTGAGCTTTTGCAGGTGAGTAATAATGTAATTTTGGTTGCTAACCTCCACCCTGACGTTATGTTTTCAATTATTTTTTATCAGCAAAAACATTAAAAAAAACACTGGTCTGATTTTCATGTTACTTGGTCGAAGGGTGTAGAATTGGCCGAGGAAGAACCCATCGAATGATTGATTGGATCCGAGTAAAACAATTAAAAAAGTTATTCATCGGTGTGCATCTCTCCGTACCTGTAGCCCAGCTGTCTGCAGACCACCTCCGCATGCTGCTGGCTCCAGTGGTCGTCACACACCGTCCCCCAGTCCCCGCTGTGGAAAACCTCCACCCGCCCCTCCCAGGGACTGTCTCCTCCAACCAGGCGCACCACCCCGTCTGAAACAGAATCATATTGAGGCAAAGTCTTGGGACTGTAAAAGGGATTCATGCGGTTACACTCGACTCAAAAGAAAAAACCGTAATGCAACTTTGAGGCAAGATATATTTTTTATAGATGCAAACATGAAGGTATCATTTTCAGATGAATCATTAATGGTGCTTTGCTGAATACCAGCTCTATGTCATGCCAGTACACATGTTAGTCCTCAGTTCCCATGAATCCTGGTTCTGCTCGTCACACAGAGGATGTTGCTGCTTCATGCTGTAATGACTTATTGATGTTCAGCAGCTATAAATAGCAGCTTCAAGTCTCTCAGTGTACATCGGTCTATGTGTGTGTGTGTGTGTGTGTGTGTGTGTGTGTGTGTGTGTGCTGTACATGTACCTGTATACGGGCTGCAGGAGACCCCAGCATCCTCCATGTGGTCACAGTTGTGCTGCTCCCAGTCGCCATGGGGACACTGGTCCAGGAAGAGCTCGTTTCCTGTGCACTTCACGGCATCCAGCAGGATCGGGCCGGACCCCTGACCGAAGTGAGCCCACGACCAGGCCTTCGCTACGCCCCTACAACATATGAGCACATTTTTTCATTATATTTTCTGACTGTATTATGGTGCAAAATGAAGAGTTAAAGGATCATGGAAGTCATTAAATGTCATCTTTAGGGGAACATGAATTTCATAGCATCAAATCGTTTTCAATAATTAAAATAAACCCACACATTTCAACCTCAGGGTGGCACTAGAGTCACGGGATCATCAAAGTCTTTATGATTGATATATGACATTGATAATATTGCTTATTCACTAGAAATAAATAAGTAGCTGTAGTGTTGCCCAGTTCCTACAAAACAAGACATAGCAAAAAAGTAAAAGAAATGCTCTCAAAATAAATCAAACCATCCTCATAAATCATGAAAAGCTAGGATGTTCATGTGGAGATTAATTATTGATGCTAAATGCAACATGAAGCACTTCAGTGTGTTTTGCGTGAATCCATGCCTTTCTGCTGTGTGTCGGCTACAGCTGGAATTCATATTAAGCTGAAAATGAAAGAACAGTAAAGCCCACGGAAAAAAGAAAGATTTAAGAGAACTTGTTGTATATCTACTGTCAACACACAAGCTCCTTCAAACACATACATGTTATTTATATTATAAATATGGAGCTTTTTTAAAGACATTTTAGGCAATATGGTAAAAAATAAGGAGGGATAAGAAGATAATTCTGTCATTTGTGTTATTCGTCTCATGTTGTTGCAGAATTTTTAAGGTACAGTAAAGCAAATTAAATATATGTTTTCATGTCTTGCGTGTAAGTTGATCGGATATCTCTTGGGCCAAATAATACTGTTGAAAGAATTCCCATTTATTTTGTGATTCATTTGTGAGCTTTGGGGCATATCAATTCAAAAAAAGTGATTTGGGTTTACGAGCTAACCTCACATATCATAATAAAACACTGTTTACTGTTATCTTGTGCAGTAGTAGAATAATATCCTAGCAGGAGTTGGCAAAATATGAGATTGTTAAAAGTGTTTAACTGTTTAACACATGTATGGCGCAGTGAAAGAAAAACTATTCATGTGGGATAAAAAACAAATCTCCTCATTTGTCTTTGAATGTCAAAACTGTGTGTGTGCAGCTGTGAGAGAACCTGCACATCAGCACATTTATTATTCAGAAGCACACACGCAGCTGGTGAGATGTCCCACTGTGTCACAGGAGATGAAATGCAACCTAATGTTGAACATGGAAGGAGTAATATTTCTCTTCACTGCTTCATCGTTTGTTTGAAAGCTGTCAGGGATGTTACACCTCTTCAGGGGATACACTGTGTGTGAGAGGAGGGGAACATCTGAACACATTCAAACACAATCTACCTCAACAGACAAACTTACGGTTTTGTTTTGTTTCACCAGGAAAATACCTCCATGTTTGATTCTTATGAGAAAAAGAAGTCAGTGTGGGTCAGTCCCAGGCTCAATCCTGCCTTACTCTTATTTGATCTTCAAATGCAGTCTTCAATTAGCAACAATCTTCGACACATGTTCATAGAGGATGTTATACATGCAAAGCATCTGTCAGTTGCTATGGTGACATCTGTTTCCTGTTCATGGGAGCACCTGTGTCTTGTACTTTTACATGTTTTACTTATCCCTCCTGATTAAAAGGGTAAGGCTGGTTATAATCTATAATTGTATTGTCAACTACTTCAATGGAAAGACAAAGAAAACTAACAATGTATCCTATACGAGGAATATTGCAAAGCCTTTTCCTTTGTGACTCACAGCTCCATTGTTATTGGAGCTATTGGAACTATTAAAAACCCAGAAATGAGTCACACTGTTGCACTGCGTGACTTGTTCCTTCATCACGATGAACAATGGCAGTGCAGTTTATATTGAGTCAATCCCCCTCCATACACTGTCCTGAGAGTGTGCGGCGCCTTTCCTTTATGAGGTGTCGGTAATGAGGCGACACGTAGCGCAACAGCAGCATTAATACCTCCATTAAAGTGAACATATAGGCCTACTCTTAAACTATATTAAAAACAGAGGCGTCAGAAGGCCTCAAAGGGGTTTCCGGTACATTAGCATACACTTACGACAAATACCCCATCACCAATGCCTCCAGTGTGTGTCTGTGTGTCTGTGTGTGTGTGTGTGTGTGTGTGTGTGTGTGTGTGTGTGTGTGTGTGTGTGTGTGTGTACCAACCTGCTCACTAGATATAACAACCCTCCAATGTCATCTTCATCTACATACAGATTTCTTTTTAAAACCTTGTTTATGTCGACAGGATTTATTTGAGAACAAAGGCTGTTTTCAATATACAATCATTGCGTGTTGACCATATACTGTAATAAAGAGGCTTTAGTCACATGTTGGCACGATCTGGAGCCCAAAGTGTCACTCTGCAGGAACAGATCTTTTAACATCTGCTCAACCTCTAGCTTCACCCATTTGATATTTTACACTTTTGATCCAACCAAAGGCAAACAAATCCCCACTAGAGTATCTAATTGTGTGTTTATCCGCCACTGAAAATAGGCCCCAACAAATGCAGTGTCCATGAGTTTGAGGATGTGGGCTTTACAGTATATAACAAAGAATATATACATTATTTATGTATATTTCGGTCCCAATTATTTAAAATGTCAGTTCTCTCTGTTTTAAAAAATTAAACAATATTTTCATGATTTATATATTCAGTATGAACCTGTGAGCTACGGACAGACTGGAGGATTCAAAATGGATTGTAAAATGGATGAATACATCTTAACGTGGTGTGAAAAATCCTATTTACGTACCCGAATCCCAGCTGTCTGCACGCTACCTCAGCATCTCTGTCGTCCCACTGGTCGTCGCAGATGGAGCCCCACCTTCCTGTGTGAAACACCTCCACCCGACCTTCAAAGTCTTCCTCGCCTCCGACCAATCGCAGCGGAGGGCCACTGCCTGAGAGAGGATGTAGAAATATCCCCATGTAGGTCAAACAGCATCCATCTCCCTCTAAATATACTGTATATATATTTTAATTGAATCTTCCTTTATTTGCATGACTGTAATGAAGTACATTGTTAGCAAAGCAGGAATACATTAAATACTACCGTATAGAAAAGTATAAATACATAAATACAGATAAATCCCTCCCCTGTGTGTGTGTGTGTGTGTGTGTGTGTGTGTGTGTGTGTGTGTGTGTGTGTGTGTGTGTGTGTGTGTGTGTGTGTGTGTGCGTGTCTAGGTGTGTGGGGTTATGGCTAGAAAGGATCCGTCTTGTGTAAATATGACGTCACGTTCTCGTTGTAACTCTCGTTGGAGCGGCTCGGAAACACACCT